AACATTGACTGAATGCATTCAAGGTTTTTCTTTCCAAATGTTTCACATCTGGACCTTATGAATAGTTTACATCATGTTTATTTATCTGAATCAAACGAATCCAAACCTTCCAACTAATGAGCCAGATGTTTGACCTGAATGTGGGAATTGTGTACTGAAATGAAAAAAAGCTGGTAGTACAAATCTAAATGCTGTGGTTTATTTGTATAAAACTGTAAACGATTCTGAAAAAAAAAAGCTGTTTCCAATGCTCATTAATAAGATTAAATGTCTATAAATATTTGTTGGATTTATAGACAATGCAGCCACCCAATATTCTGCTGGAGGAATTAGATAAGAATATTAGACCTTACCTCAGCAGCTAAATTATCTCATAAACCTTAAAGCTGGAATTGGACTTTTAGGTTCAGGTTTCTTAATTAGATGAGTGAGCATCTGGATCGAACCAGATGGTACAATCTGTGTTACAAACACATGCTTATTTCTGTGTCATTGACTCAGCGCAGCACAGACAGATGTGGACGAGTTTGCTTAAAGTAGGGGGAAAAGCTTTAAAACAGTACTTATAGCTGATCTTTGTTTTCATTTTTTGTTTAAATATATGGAAAAGAGATAACGTAAAGATGGAGGATTTGTTTTAGTTTGAGCGGTTCCACTGTTATATTCAATGCCTCTGCAGAAGACTTTAATACCTTATTTAATAACACTGAGGATTGCAAATACGTTATTTATTCAAGTAACTTTCATAAAAGATTGTTATCTGAGCACTCACCCAACTGGCTACAGGACAACAGATTAAATTGTGAATCAAGCTTAAATCACGATCAAACGGTTAAGTCTGCACATATATGAATAAATTCACAAAACCTTCCACTCAAAATATCAGAATTTCCTAACAAAAATCATTTACTGCAAGTAGAACATATATTCCAGTTAAAAATGGCCAACTAAACTCAGCTATTATACACTCAAAGAAAGAATGAAACATGGTTGAAAACCATAATCGTTAAAATGCTGAAGCGATATCACAGTTCAGCATTGATTTTATGTTTGAGAAGCAGTTTTTCTTGAAGAGTTTGAAATGTGGTGACATTACCTTTTATCCTATTTAGAGCCATTGAATGTGTTCAAACCATTCATAATGCAAATCCAAGAGGTAAAAACAACATGTGGTAAATTAATATTTTATTATAATATTTGCTCAATTGGGGCTCCACTGCTGCCGTGCAGCAAGAAGGTTTGGGGTCGTTCTGCATGGAGCTTGCATGTACTCCCTGAGCATGCATGGGTTCTCTCTGGGTACTCTGGCTTCCTCCCACAGTCCAAAAACATGACTGTTAGGTTAATTGGCTTCTCTAAAATTCTCTTTAGGTGTGAGTGTGTGTGTGAATGATTGTTTGTCCTGTTTTTCTACAGTATGTGTTGCACTGCGATAGACCCCGCCTCTTGCCCATTGGCAGCTAGTGATGGGCACCAGCACCCCTCACAACCCCAGCAGGGATAAGCAAGACAGAAAATGGATGGATGGATGTTTGCTTAATCAGAAATCAATAACCTCTTAGTTAAACGATTCTTAACCTTCAATGCTTATTTCTTAGGGAATATTTAAAAGTTAAGGTTCACCTAGTTTCTTTAAACTTGGCTTATAAAACAGGGGATCTGGTAGCAAGCAAACTTGGTTAAAGGGGCTCTTTTGGTCATATTCTGGCAATCAAATGTAGTATCAGGTAAACATAAATATTAACAGAATACCATTGTTTAAACCCTTAAATAAAATTCTTGTTAGTTTGCTTCAAACTTCCTGTTAGTTTGCTTCAAACAAATTAAGTAATGTTTGGCTTTTAAAGCTTTATCTGACTTTGCCAGACCTTCAAACTTCTTCTAAGCTCTATCTTGGAAAGGTGAGGCATCTACTGAGGCAAGGCAAGGCAAGTTTATTTGTAAAGCAAAATTCAGTACACGGACAATTCAAAGTGCTTTACATGAATTAGATAGCAAAATAAAAGCAAAATAAAAGCAAATAAAGATTTAAAAAAACATTCGTAAAACAAATACAACAATTGGACCATAACCTTATATATCCTCATATAACTTAATGCCTCAGTTAACAGTTTAGAGTCAACAGTCAAAGGCAGCTGTAAACAAATGGGTTTTTAACTTTTACTTAAAAAAATATTCAGGCTTTCAGCACTTTTACAGCCCTCCGGGAGTTTCTTCCAGATAAGTGGAGCATAGGAACTAAATGCTTCTTCTCCATGTTTGGTTCTAGAGTATGCGTGAACTAGAAGACCTGAGTGGTCTGGAAGGTTGATACACTGACAACAAATCTGCTATGCATTGAGGTGCTGATCACTTCAGTGATTTATAGACTAACAGTAGCATTTTAAAATCTATTCTCTGAACTACAGGGAGCCAGTGGAAGGACTTCAGAACCAGGCTGATGTTTCTTCTTTCTTAGTTCTAGTGAGAACATGAGCAGCAGCGTTTTAGATCAGCTGCAGCTGAGGCAGACCTTAGTGTGTGCATCTGCAGTCCTGTATGTTGGAAAGAGTGGTCAGAAGCACTGGAGCGCCTCAGGGGAATGTCCTCTCCCCCTACTTTCATGTTATATTTTAAATGCTGCACAGAGACCTGCCACATGCAGAAATACTCTGATGACTCTGCATTGGTTGTAGCTACGGGACAAGATATAAGGAGTAAAGGACAATGGTCTACAACTGTTTCAAATAGAGAGAGAAGCAAAATGAGATGAAGTCCTAAAAGCTGGTGGTTGGGATTATACCTTAAACACAAGCTGAACTGGACTAAAGATGTTGAGGCAGTCTATAAAAAGGGTTAAATATGTCTCTATTTATTGTTGAAAATAGACTGTAGGATGATAATGAGAGGTGAGCAGACATGTTCCCTGTTATCTGCTCTGTTAGGCAGCAGCCAGACAGTTCAGCACACTCATAGACTTAACGGATCATTAGGAAGTCGAGTCTAGGGCTAAAACAATTAATTAAAATATTTGATTACTGAAATAATCCTCAACTAATCTGGTGATCAAATCAATTTTTTACCTAGAGTAAAGGTACACAGACTCTAAAACATTTGCTAAAGAATAAATTACTTACAACTATAATTAAGACAGAACTCTGATAGAAACTCTAAACATTTATGAAGATGGGATCATTTTGTTTCTATTAAAGATTTTTTTTTCTTTATTTCAAATGTTAGTATATTGAGAAGTGGGTAGCGCTGCTGCCTTGCAGCAAGATGTTTCCAGGTTCGATTCCCGGCCTGGGGTCTTTCTGCATGGCTTTTGCATGTTCTCCCTGTGCATGTGTGAGTTCTATCTGGGAACTCCAGTTTCCTCCCACAGTCCAAAAACATGACTGTTAGGTTTAATGGCTTCTCTAAATTCTCCTTAGGTGTGAATGGTTGTTTGTCTCTCTGTGTTGCCCTGCGATGGACTGATGACCTGTCCAGGGTGTCACTGCCTCTCACTTGTAGACAGGCACCAGTCTCTCTATCCATGGATGGATGGATTTACTAAAAGTGTTTCTTTTTAGATTAATTAAAAAAGTAATTCATAGATTAACAGTTTACTAAAATAATCTATAGGTGCAGCCCTAGTTGAGTCACATCCTTGGAGAACTGCTGGACTCTCTTGACAGTGGTGTGAGAAAGGAAGATGTTCTCCAAAATAAAAGCTGTTCTGGATTTTTTTTAGCATCCTTTCCATAATGTGCTGCACAGTCTCAGCAGTTGTTTCAGCTACAGGCTATGATTTCCACACTGCACGACAGCAACACAGCAGATAGTTCCTGCCTATGGCTTTTTGGCGCTTCTGTCCTATAAATTACACTTGAATACTAGGTCAAGCAAATAGGCTATGTGCCCAACTCCACCTGGATTTCAGCCAGTTCTTTTATTTCCTGTCTTTGATTACCGGGCAGACTGATCCAGGTGTGTCTGGCCGTAGTCGTCAGGTTTCTGAGGTCAGACGCTCCTGGATTAATTAGTCTGTCAAGTAATGACAGACAGGAAACAAAGCAGCTGGTTGAATTTCTGGGGATAGGGGAGTTGAGCATATAGCTAAGTGTTGCATAATACTCTGTTATGTTAGTTTTTAATTTATGATTATTTTAGACTTATATTTTTCATTATTTTGTTACTGGGTTTTACTATTTTTCACTGCTCTTTTAATTCTTCTACCCTGTAACAAAGTGAATGAGGAACAGTAAAGAAAATGTATCTGATATTTGAAAAGAAAGTTGTTCTATTTTAGCCTTTTCTGATCCAAGCACCTTTTTCTGTGTTTTTTTCTGACTTGTGGCTAAATACAAGTTAAACTTCTGGTTACTGTTCTGTTTCAAAGACATTTCTCTACAGTTTTCTATTCAGTTTAGATTAGAGGAGAGCACGATTACCATTTGCTGTCAATGAATTCTCCCACCTGAGCTGCAGCTCCTCAAGAGTTACTATCTGCCTCTCGTCAGCTTCTCTACTCATCATTTTCACTTTAAAATCATTAACTACCTTGTGCTGGTCTGTCTTATTAGGTTTTATTGAGACAAGTATTAAAAGTTGAGGTTTTAATATGATTAGACATAATGTGCTTATTGTGTCCAAATCAGACTTTTTTTCTTATCTGGCTTTACCTCCATTTATGCAAAGAGTGTTTTGCTTAAGCTATAATAAATTTCTTGTTTTATTCCTGTTTTTTTTTTTTTAGATGTATAACATAATTTTTATTGTTTTATTCTGAAACCATTTATGTCTTCTTCCTGTTCTGCAGTTACCACTCCTTCATGGTATCTTTCACACTTAGATCTTTTTGAACATTGGCATTGTTGCGAATTCCGGCAGATTTATTAATATTTTTAATATTTGTCTGTTTTTCACACTGTGCTTTATTGATGCTGTGTTTCTCATAAGCAAGCAGAAAGGGTTGACTAAACCTTTGAATTTTATGCGGTTGTAATGTATCCCAATAATTTTTTTTTTTTTTGCAGGTTAAAGATGAGCGCAAAGCCCAGGAAGTGTTTGACCTGGCTGATTACGAGCGCTCAGAGGAGCTGAGGAAGGCGAAGAGTCGGAGCAAGAAAAACCACAGTCGCTTCACATTGCTGCGCTGCAAGCAGCGAGGAAATACAGTGAGTCCCCCTGCCTCCCCCACCCCCGCCTGTTGCCAGTTTAAAGCCGTCTTTGCCCCCAGAAGAGACCAGTGAAATATGACGTTTATTTGCTGTACAGTTTAACATGGCACTTCCTCTACTGCAGTTGTTAATGACAGAAGTCAGTCAGCTGTATATTTAAGAAAAGTATGGGACTCATTTTAAAAGCAAAACTGATATATTTAGGTTGTTATGAAACTAAAGCGAGCTCATATGACCAATAAAAAACTATTATGACCATGTTGTTGCCTATACAATAATTGGAAATACTGCTCAGACCATCACCGGTAGCCTTAAAAAGAAATGTAAACTTAAACGGGTGCTTTCTCCAAGAACAATAAGGGGAAGTTGAGTGGAAGGAAAAAAAAATCTTGTAGAGGCAATGATGCATTTTTTCTCTTTTCACTCGGGGTAGGGTGTTAGGCTGAGTTAAACTCAGAAACCAGGTCGTCTGCATGTTTTATCATGACCGCTGACAGGGTGGCTCTGATTGGTCAAATCTACATCCGCTCTACACTATGCGTATTTCCTGTTTGTTACTTTACCGGCTTGTTTGTATGACCGCCATTGTGGAAAACAACTCGTGAAGATGGAACAGCTAGAAGAGCAAGGTGGACGAAAAAGCTGGAACCCTTTTTCACCCCGCTCTTTTTCACCCTCATGTCCCTGCGTTGTCGCATAAAACTTGCCCCCACTTCCTCATCGCCTCAGCTGTATCTACACCCACAGCTAGTTCCTGATTGTCCCTCTTGTGTTGTGGCATGGAATAACATAGCGCAGACCACGCTCCGATATTGGGCATTAATCAAAAATATCTGCGACAAGCTCACTGCGACACGGTGCTGCGGGGAGTATAACCAGCCCAGTAGAGGTATGCATGGATGTTTGTTGGTGGAGCTGTAAGTGGGTGTTGGCATGTGTCTGAAGCTGAATGATTGTCTAGTGAATCTCACCTGGATCTGCTCGGGGTAATTTTCCTTTGTTTGATAGAGTTTAAAGCCAATTAAGTAGTGATGGTGCGATGAAGCCTCATGAAGCATTGAACCGTTTGGGCTAATTGCTTCAACGATCCCCACAGTGCTTGAAGCTTCATTTTAACATCTCACGCGCCTCGCGGAAACGCCCCCTCCACAACTTAGTTTTACACGCCTCGAAGCCTCTGCTCATCTCATAACATAGCTACTATTAAATCTGCAAGTCTGTCTTGTACAGTGCTTCCCAGAAAAAGGGTACAATAAACATCCCTAACTGCCGTAAAGCTTTGTGTCCTCCTTGGATTCAGCGTGTCGAACAGATCCCTGCTCTCCTCTCCATTACTATTTTTTGGATGAGAGTCACTTATGCTACTAGACTGACTATAACTAATTATGAATTATCATTAATTATCATGGCATCAGAAACCAGCACACACAGCTGTGTTCAACATATGAGCTAAAAATGATGCAGTCATTGATGCAGCATTAATTCACTCCTAACTGAATTGTCAGAAGCCTCTTATTGAGGCTACAGAGAGAAAGTGCTGTGGTTTAAAATCCAGTTTTTAAATTTGATTAACTTTTGAATAATATTTGAAAATCAAAAGCCAAAGGTCTGTGAAAAGAAAGGATAGTTGAAGTTTAGTTTTATATTGATGGTTTGAGACTTCATGTTATACTGGTGTGTGAATCTATGAGTTTTACTGAATCTACTGAAATAAATGAGCTTTTGTCAAAGAACCTATAAGATGTCCATCCATCCATCCATCCATCCATCTTCCTCCGCTTATCCGGGGTCGGGTCGCGGGGGCAGCAGCTTAAGAAGGGAGGCCCAGACTTCCCTCTCCCCAGCCACTTCTTCCAGCTCTTCAGGAGGAACCCCAAGGCGTTCCCAGGCCAGCCGAGAAACATAGTCTCTCCAGCGTGTCCTGGGTCTTCCCCGGGGCCTCCCCCTGGTGGGACGTGCCCGGAACACCTCACCAGGGAGGCGTCCAGGAGGCATCCTAAACAGATGCCCTAGCCACCTCAACTGGCTCCTCTCGACGTGGAGGAGCAGCGGCTCTACTCCGAGATCCTATAAGATGTTTGTTATGCTAAATATGTTGGGCTCTTATTCTTTAGGTTTTTATCATACATCAAATCTTTGAATGTTCTGACATTAGTTATTAAAAGTTACAGCATTTACAGCTTTTAAACTGATTAAAGAAGCTTTTTCCTTTTCTCAGCTTGATGATGCTCTAAGAGTTAGGTAAAACCCAAATCCAGCCGAGCGTGATTCAGACCGGGGAGGAGGCTTACTGGTCGCCATGTACAAGCAGCAGTGCTTTAATCAATCTGTTTTAGCTGAGCCGTTTCTTCCGCTCAGATTATCTATTGAAAAGGCTTATGAGAGAAATCCAAGGGTTTACTTGGTCTTTAGCTTTTACCCCCTGAGGAGACACTGTCACGATTTTTTAAAGTTCCAGCTGATGAATAAATAAAACACATCAGTGCTTCTGATTTTAGTGTTATTTAGTGAGCAGAGGATCCTTTCTAACTCGGGATGGAAGGGGATTCTTTTTAACCATCCATCCATCCATCCATCCATCCATCCATCCATCCATCCATCCATCCATCCATCCATCCATCCATCCATCCCTCCATCCATCCATCCATCCATCCAACCTTCTTACAAGAAGAACTGGGAAATCTGAAACTGTTACAGGAAATTCTGTATATACATGTCTTAAATAAGCAAATAATATAATAATATAAATAAGCAAACAAATAGTATTTTACTGTTTACAAGGATTCCCAATATCCTGCTTGAATATTGAAGTTGTTAAACTAAATGTTTTCAGGTTTGCCTTCTCTATTTTTTTTTTATTTTTTTGTATTTTAAGGCTGATCTTGTTGCTGTAAATATATTTTTTCTATCACTGTCTACTATTTTCACTAGAGTTTCATATTGTCTATTCTAGACAGAACAGCCTTCTGCACATAGAGACATATTTGAGAAAATTAAATCAACTATTTAAGAGAACAAATAGCTTGTTTCTCCAACATGTTTGCTTTACAGTAAAAGAGAACCATGGTTGTTGCCTTCTGGCGAGAGCCCATTTATCTTTTCTAAGTCGTTGGTCCAGATGTGAATACTCTGAACTCTTCCTACAGTGCATCCTTTCCGTGTGTCCTTGTTCTTGTCCCTCTGTCCGCTGCTCCTGGAGATTATTCCGCCCCTGCTGTCCAACGTGGCCTGATCATTGGTGGATTTCCCGCTGACTTCCGAGTTAGGATTGGTGGATCTGAATGAAAAGAGCCCTCCCACATGGCCTGAACAGCTCTGATTGGCCAAGCTCTGGTGTTTTCTTTACCCTCAATAAGGATTTAATCTGCAGAATCCCATTAGAGTTACGGCAGAATAATCCCTGAAACACTTTCCCATGCCAGTCTTCCTGCTTACTCTTTCTTACAGTCGAGCAAATCTGAACTGAAGCAGAGAAAACGTGACTGAAACGGCTTTCTCATGTGGATTATATCCACTTCGCCTCACAGATGATTATTTTCAAAGGTTTTTTTGCTATCTGAAGTGGGGGGAAGTTTTTTGTCACTGTGACAAAAAATTAAAAATATCCAGTTTTAGATTGTTTATCATAACAGAAATAACATGAACATATAGAGTTGTAACTGTTTAGAAATAGATTATTGGGATTAATGATGAACAAAGAAAAAACTACAGGTGTTTAGGGGCTCCACATAAAGCAGAAAGTGTCCACCTTTCTGTTTAGGCAGCTATTTAAACGCCAGTCCTTCAACACTTTAAATCAACTGTGTGATCTGCTTACATTTGTGCTTAATTTAAATCTAACTTATACAGGCGGTATAAGACAAGAACAACAGATTCTTCTTTAAATATTGCAGTTGAACAATGTAGTTTGTACTGCTGATTTAATAATGCTCTCAGAAATTAGGAAAATTGTTTGTTTGGATTCTGAAGTTGGTTTTGGTGAAAAATCTCAGAGATTACCTCTGAATTAGGACATGAATGGAAGCACATTAAATAAAATGAGTGTTTAGATTTTTGTACCAATTAATAAAAACAATGTTTTCAATGGGAAATGGTTTCAAATTCCTTTTGACAAAACTATACTTTACAGGCTTAACATTTGTCTTGTTATCTAAGTTTCTCAAGGCATGCCGTCTTTTTTTAAACTTAAATAATAAACGTGTTTACCCAAGATAGAATTATGCATATGCTTTGAAGCTGAACATAGAATAATATAAAGCCAACTTTCACTCATTCTTTTACTTTCCAGAAAAACAAATCAGTGCAAAATAATGATTTTTATTTAGGATAAGGCATGCATCAAATATTGGCAGAATCAAAACCAAGATCTTAGAAAAACTAAAATACAAAAAACTGTATTACCCCTCTGTGATTTCTTTCTTTTTTTATATCCAGATTACATATACCAAGTCAATCATTACATCTAAGCATTATTGTGTTGACCTCAGTGGGGGAAATGTAAATTGCTGTGAAAGACTATAGCAAACATCTGCTAGTGCAGTTTTATTTTGTTTCTGTTTTTATTACAGTGTCCTGTCTGGCAATGTGGCAATAAGAATAATTGTCTTGATGCCAAAAAGAGCCAACAGATTTTACTTTCATTAGTGGAGCAGTATGGCTATTGCCATAGTATTTCACTTGTTTCATGCATATAAATTGCTTTATTATAATTATGCAGGGAGTTTTACAGATTATATGGACCCTGTAATGTAAGTAGAACAGGAAAGGAAAAACAGAAAAGAGGAGAAAAGATGAAAGAGGAGATAAAAGGGAGATAATGATAAAACATTTTCAGTCTGCTTCATCACCTGCAAAGAGATGTAAAAAGAACAGCACAACCAACAGACATGGTACGAGACATACAATAAAGTAACACCTAGATACTATTGCTGAGGTAGTATTAATATGCAGCTAATGCAGTTTTTAACAAATAGCGATATCCAGGTAATTAACCCTAAATATGTCTTCTATGATTTTTAGTGTCCAGATGTTTAAGAAAATCTGTATTTTGAATGTATTTAAACTTTTGTACCACTCAGATCATTCTGAATTCACTCTTAGTTAAACAACCATATTTCTCTTATATTTAATTGGGAAAAGAAATGGTGAATACAGCCTGAAAATGTATTTCAGATCCAATTTAATGGCTTGTTTTCTTTTTGCAGGTTTCTAATCTGGTGTTTTTGGCTGTGAGTCCGGAGGAGAAGGAGTCCTGGATCAACACCTTCAATGTGGCCATAATCAAGGCCAAGAACAGAGTTTTAGATGAGGTGTGTTTTGGTTTGTTTGCAGGTTGATAAAGGTTTGAGGTTTGAGAAAAATTAAAGTAATTTCTAATGTGCCTTCAGGTGACGATTGAGGAGGACAGCGCTCTGGATCATCTCACCAGAGACCGTGCGAAGATTCCTCACAGCCGCCGTCTGCCCACCAGAGGACACCTCATGGCCGTGGTATAAAGGATCCTGTTTTCCTCCTTCCTGTTCTTCTGAATTAAGAGCTGGCTTCATGAAGTTTTCTCTCATACTTCACCGCAGGCCTCCACCTCCTCTCAAGGCATGCTGACCCTCGACCTCGTCGCAGAGGAGGAAGGGTTCTGTCTCGACTACGACGACGACGAATCCTGGGAGGACAGCTTCCGGGTCGACCTGCAGAAAGAGGGCTCTGGAGGAGGGCTGGGGGGGCGTCAACGGGCCGGGACTGATGTTTCAAAGCTGCGGGTGACTTCCAAAGAGCCCAAGGTGAAGACAGGGAGCCTACCTAGAGGCAGCGAGCGCTCCTGGGGTAAACACGCCCACATGGAGGCCTCCAAAGTCCACAAGAACCAGCAACTCCAGGTGAGACACTTCTAAGATAGCGTTGCTTGAAATCCGATGTAAAAAAACAAATAACATTTCCTGATACTGTTCTGTTTGCAGCAGTCTCCACATCTGGCCGTATGTTTTAGATTGTTTTCCTGTAAAGTTACCATCTGATGACCAAATTTTGTAATTATAAATAAAGCCACCAGTAGATACAGATACATAGATATGCTAGGGATGTCCATTTTCAATATCATTGCTGTATTGACCTGATACCATATCAGCAAGAATCATACGCACCTTTATCACTTAGTGTGGACTATTAAAAAGGCCTAATAAACAAAAGATATTAGAACAAGTGACCCATGTATTATTAACTAATGGGACAAATCAACCTTTAGCAGAAACAGTTTCTATTAGGGCTGGGTAAAAAAAAACGATTTAATCGATTTTGGATCGATTGCTTTACATTTTTGCAAAATCGATGTGTAGGGAATGATTAGTTTTATAGTGACACCCGTGTTGTTCATGTTCAAATGAGCAGGCGTGTGCAAATGCCGACCCTAGTAACACACCGCTCAGCAAGCTGTCCCAACTGAAGTCTGATGTCTGGAACCATTTTGGATTTAAAACAACTAAAGATAATGTGCTGGATATGTGACATTATAGTGACTTCCCACTTACCTTGATAATGAGTGGCACCTCACACTCGTGCTACAGACCACCAAGATGACTTCTAGCTAGACAGCTGCAACTATAGCCAATAGGTGGACTGAAGACATTAACGTATGGGGGCTGACCAGCAAACACCCTGTAGTTGTACAGAAAATGCTGCAAATATGGTTTGTGTAGCGAAGATTATGCAGCTCATGCGAGTGAGGCTTCACTTTTTCACTTTTCACAAACAAGTTTGCACTTTTGAGACAGTTTTGTTCACATCTCAAGTTTAAACTATCTGATTTACAAGTTTGCACTTTGTGTTTAATGTGACAGGAAAAAATAAAATACATGAGTATTTTAAAACACATTTGAACCACTTTCATTATTGTAAAAACAGATCAAATCGAAATTAATCGATTTAGAACTTTATTAATCAAAATCGAATTGATTCAGGACTTTGGCCAAAATACCCAGCCCTGACCTGCTCTGGTCAGTTTCTAGCCAACAGATTTTTTTTCTCTTAATCTTCTTTTAAATAAAAAAAGTTACTGAATCACAGCATTTATAAAATCAATGAGGCTTCCAACATCACAGATCCTCCACCGTGCCTAACAGTGGGCTGGAGAGTCTTTTCCAAATATTCATCCTTTGTTTCTTGTCAAATTCACCTGCAGTGGTTGCTGCTAGCTAGCTCAGTGACTAAAGCATCCAGCTAAAATCCCAGTAGGATTTAACAAAATTAACATCTTCAAATTTATTATGTTCATTCTTTTATTTGTTTTTTGTTTTTTTCCGCTGTGCCTTATGAACAAACAGTTGGAATGTAGAGTAGTTTAAATCAGTAGCTAATAGATATTTCCTGCTCTGCTTGGCTTAGATATCTTGTTCTCTTGTCTGTCCCATTTTGAAAGGATGGGTAAAATAAATTTGATTGACCTAAATAAATAAAATTTATTTATTCATTAGGAGAAGTTAGGGGGACCAATAACTGTGCCTTCGATGGTTATGTTAAAAACAGTTTTTAGCATTTCCTCTATGAATTGATGTCGTCAACGGTTAGAAATAGCTTTTCAGTACGTTTATGATGCAGCTGCAGTAAATTAGAGATTTGTTTTAGGGCTTTGTGCACTGAATGTTGGAAAGCCTTTAAGACAACCTGGGAACTTTTTCCTAATTCTGAATCAATAGCAGAGCTGATTCATCCTGATTTGCTCCATTAGTTGGTTTATAAAGTGTAAAAATTTACGATGGGATGTGCTTTTATGTCATTTTCTCTGTAACCAAAATTCGTGTCCTTCTCCAATCCTCGTGTGCAACATTAAAACTGTGTTTCATTCATCTTCTAAACCAGAAACCGTAGCATCTTTAAGGCACAAACGTCTGTCATTTCCCCCCTTTCAGGTCCTTCAGGCGCAGTCTCGAACGCCCCAGCCAGGGAAAAGGTTCAGCATGCAGGGTCGGAGTCGTTGCGCCTCCATGGATGAAGTCCTCTCCTCCAGGTGCATCAATTCAGACGAGAAATCCATCTAATCTGACTGGAAAATGATTATTTATAATCTTTACTCTGCTGTCTGAATGTGGAAGTGTACTGGAACACCCGTCCTTGCATTTCCATTTCCACCTTTATGGTTCCCCAGAGCAGAACTTCCCAAACGTTTTAGCCTATGATAACAGCTTGAGTGACTGATAACCCCTTTAAAATACATATAATAATTTTACTTTAAATCAGCATAAAGTGAAACTTAAAGTTATATTCAATTTAATTTATTTCAGAAACATTTATTTATTTTATTTCATCATTTAAAAGTTATATTTAATAATTTAATGGGAAACTTAATTATTTACTAACCTTTTAAATAAGTAAACGGTACATTTTATTATATATAGCATGTTATTAATTTAATTTTGTCCCTTTTTACCCTCGATACCCCTTTGGGGTCACATCACAATGATTCCTAAAAAAAAAAAAAAGCATCAATTCCCCACCTGGTGTCTCCGGACCCCCTGGGGAGCGTCCGCATCCCCCACTCTGGGAACCCCTGGTCTGGAGGTTTTCTAAATCAGCCTTATCTGCACTAATGATGAATATTTAATCTGTCATAGAGGAAATTAGTGATTGTAATTCAAATGTAAGGATTTTTAAACAAACACAATTTAAGAGTTTTTCAGATTTTCAACATTTGAAGCCAGTATATGAGAAAATATGAGAATCTAATTTGGAACTGGAAGTTCACCAGAGTAGAAAGCTTTACATCATGGAGCATCAAAGCCTGCCATTGATTTCTAATACGATCCTTGTTCCTGCTGTTGACTTTGGCCTCGTTTTGTTTGTAAATAGGAAGGGAACTGCTTTCCCCTCCTTCCTTATTTGAATCCTAACTGAGGCCCTTCTGTTTGGAGTTTGCATATTGTAGTTTGCATTTGTTAGGATTGTCAGCAGTTATTCCAGTTTACTTTTGAGAGTCCAGAACCAAACGTTTGATTAGTAAGAGACTATAAAGTCTTTGTAGGTGAGCTTGCGCTTTGGCTTACCCTGCATGTTTCTTTTTTCTCTTCCAGATAAAGATGCATATTATACATTATATTTACTATTGATTTAAGTCTGTTATTCTTCAGATTACTGGAGAAATGTGTGGCAAAATAAGAACACAGGAGAAAAATAATACAAAAAAATATTAATCCTTGATAAAATATTAAAACATTCAAGAAGCAACTTTTGTAGCATTTTCTGCTGTAAGTTGTAAGTCTTTTGTGATGTTTCTACCTGCTTCATACATGTAGACGCCTACATTTCTGTTCAGTTTTCTTGCTAAATAGCTCAGACTCAGTCTGATTGGTTCAGAGAATTTCTCAAAAATGGATTTTGGATTTGTCCATTCTGAAGCGTGGATGAGCATTGATCAAAACAATATTTGGTATTCCACATATTTTCTGTCCTTGCTCCTTGTGGAAAAAACATCTGGACTTTTTTTGATTGTGGCTTAAAGTTCAGATTTTTTTGAAAAGGTTCTTCCCCCTTTTAGCTGTAGCTCCTCTGTCTGAGTAATGCTGCCTTTCTCTATCAGCCTAAATGTGAAACATAGAAATAGACCCTTTTTTTCTTCTTTCTTCATACCTCTGCATTATCATTGAATAAAATTCTAATAAAATAAACAAGAAACAAACTGATTGACCTCTGTGCTCACAGCCTCTGATATGTTTTTGATTGAATTAATTTTCACTGATACGATTGAGCTCTCAGAGCTTTGAAAATGAAAGAAACACACTAATACTCCGGTAAACTTTCTTTCCAGACCGGCGATGATTCGGTCAGAGTTTCGTTCGGCTCTTCGTCGCTGTCCAACCGAAGAGGAGGCAGGCAGCGGGACCTCCATCCAGCCCGTCGGCCAGCTGCAGAGCCTCATCGCTCAGAGGATGCAGAGAGCCCAGGAGCTGCTGGAGGAAATGAGGCTGCAGGTCTGACGTCCTCAGAAACATCTGTCCCTCATCTGTAAACTGGATAACTCGGATTGTGAATTGTGAAATGGTGACTGGGAATGTTGCTGCTTATAGGAGCTACAGAAGGCCAAAGCTGAGCGAGAACGAGGAAGCAGCTCAACGCACATGAAGGGCATCAACTCCCCTCGACTTCACCACCTCAGGGGTTCAGACTCCCCCCATTCCAGGTTGGTTTCATCAGATTTTATTAACATGAAGTTGAAATTTTTGCAGGAGCTTTGAGATCTCTGACAGGGTGGAAGGAGAATGCTCTGCAAAGATCAGTGTTTTATGGATCTTTCACGTCCTCAGCAGGTCATCGGGGTCTCCGAGGAGCAGGAGCAGCGACTCGCCTCGTCTCCGGGGAAAAGATTCACCTCGTCTGAGGGGAAGAGAGTCTCCCCGATCCAAAGCTAAGAAGAACCGCTCCAAAGCCACTGACTCGCCTCGCTCCAGAGGATCTCAGTCTCCTGCAGCTAAAGCTGGCGACTCTCCTCGCCTGAAAGATTCTCCTCATCTGAGCCGCTCTCCTCAAACAAAGAGCTCTGACGCAACAAAGCTCAAAGGTCCATTGGGCGCCAGCTCCACCAGAAAAGATGGTTCTTCTCCACAGAAGACTCCTGAAACTCCTCCGTGCTTGAATAGATCCAACTCCTGTCAGGTGAAAGGAAGCGATTCGCTGCAGGGCAGCGAAACTGACTCCCCTCATCTAGACAGCATCAAGGAGACTCGCCGAACTCAAAACTCCCCAGCTCTATCCAGATCCTTCGATTCCTCGCTGCCCAAAACCCCAGACAAGCATCGCCTCTCTCCTCCTCCTCCTCTGGTCCCTCTTGAGGAGGACATGGAGGTGGAGCGACGGCGCGCTGAGGCCGAGCGGCTCCTGGAGGAAGCTGTGTCGTCCTGGAAGGAGGCGCAGGAGGTCCTGCAGGAAGTGAAGGAGCTGCAGAGCCAGACGCTGAGGCGGCAGAGAAGGAGGACCTATGAGAAGATGACAACATCGGGTGCAGCAGCTTCACAACCTGCAGCGACCGCCGCTGCGGACGAGGACGACACTCCTGCCTCCCCGACGTCCCCAGAGGACGACGATGAATCTGAGACACCCTGAAAAGCACTAACAGGTCCTCACGCTGGCATATTTTTTCTTCTTTTTCAATGCAGCGTTACTCTGCATGCTTATGCACAAAAAACAACGTTTACACAATTTCTACATTTTTGATCCTATTTCTGGTAAGATTTGCTAATTTTTATTAATCAGGGCAATGGGATACATGTGATGACACATTTGGATAACTTAAAAACCAGGGATATATTTAATTCCCGGAGATTTCAGGACTTCTATCCTGCTGAGCGCTCCACGCTGCCACCAGGCAGAAACCCACTCTGCTGTCAGGGCTTCTCCGTCTGTAGCAGGAGCTTCACATTTAACTTCAATCAACGCAGCTTTAATGGAGAGGAGCTCCCCTTCACCTTCTCTAACGATGCTGTACGGTTTTCCTTTGATTGTTCGTGCAGAAAACAAGAAAAAATCTTCCAACCAAGATGTCAAAACTTTTTGAGAAAAAGTCAATGAAGAGCACAAAATGACTTTTTTTTAAAAAAAAGAAACAAAATATTGACTTTAGATTTCTGCACTGAAATAACCAGCTTGTTTGCTGAAACATCTCTGAGTTTAGCTTGTAGCATGTCTGGTAAACTGCTGGGCATGGTTTAGTTTGTAGCTTCATGAAGAATTAATCTGCTTCACTTTCCTTCCAAATTTGTATCAGTTTTTGTTATACAATCGCAGTCTTTTCAAGCTAACGCCAAAATCAGGGAGTTTACGTTAAAAACATGAGCAAAAAATAAATAAAAATGGAAGCAATAATTTATTATTTTGTTGTTTGTAATTGTAGGCGGAAACAAAGCCTCAAACCAGCTCAGATATGACAAACTCTGCACTATGAACTGAACTTTTTACAACAACATCACTGCATCCAATTTGTTTGGTTAATGCTGTTTATTTGTTTGGTTGAAGACTGAAATCAGATTTGTTTTTTTTGCACAGATGCTGAATACTTTAAGGTCAAGTTTTCATCAAAGACCTCATAGAAACTTTTATATATTCTAAATTTGTATCTTTAAACCGTTTTCCATCAAAATATACTTCAAAGATATGATCCATAATATAAAAGATCTGAAAAGATTTGAATATGAAAGATAAACTAATTGAGTCAAAATGTTTTTTTTTAAACACTGATTTAATTTATTAAGGGGAGAAAATATCCAAGCTAATCTGGCTGTGTGTGAAAACGTATCTGCTCCACCATTGCGGTGGAAATCTTGACATTTCTATTTTGATAAATTGCTTTAATTCAGGCCCGTTGAAATACAGTCCAGCATAAATGACTGTTTTTGTTTCATTTCACAAAATCTTAGTCAGAGTTAGGCTTAAACTAATCCTGGAACCCTTGTGCCGTTCAGAGGCAGGCTTTCTGATGTTTCTCACTGTTTGAGGTTTAAGTCAAAAACTAATGGCTGGACTTTTTCCTTAAGGATTCACTGGTTTAGAGCTTCCATTAATTACAGCAAATTGGTCCCTAAGAACTAAAAAAAAGCCCCACACCATCATAGACAGTTTATTATTTTTTTTTATGATGAGGCGGTTTATGTTGCTTTTGTTTATACATCAACATTAATTGTTTCTATAATCTTGGATGACAGAGATGTTTCATGGTAAATATGGGTTAGTCCCTTGTGTTCTGTTTGGTTAGCAGTGGTTCTAGCCTTTTATTAAACCATAAAATTATCTGAAACGAGTTAGATCTGGAACGCTTTAGCCGTTACATCCTGGAGGAGTCATCAATGACCTTTTGGTGTCATTTTGCCTGTCACCCTGGGGGATGTTCACTATTGTTATTTTTGAATACTTGAATAGGCTGAATCCCAAACCACCCCCTAAGCACTACCCCTTAACTATTAATTATTAGTGTCACTCGCAATAAAATCACACAGCTGTGGAAGGCGCATGGATTATACGTGGGGGGGTATAAACATGAATGGGTCGGCCTCTTCCCTCCAATGGAAGGAGAAAGCAGTAATTCCTATGGCAACACAGTGATGCCGCATGCGCATAGCTGTAGCTCTGTGGCGCAGGTTAACATACTGTAACATCAGAGATTTGCCGGTTTCTTAAGAATAAATCTGTCCAGTAAAACGATGTGAAGATGCAGCAAACGAGTGAATCTTACATTTGAATTCACGTTTTTCCTCCGCCACTAGTTCACCATTTCACCCGCTGCCAAATTCCTGTGAGCCTGCACTGATGTACTCAATATTTAAGGCTGAACTGCCCACTTGTGCTACCCACTACGTGGTTTGGGACCATCCTTAACGCGGCAGACCCTCTGGTTAGTGTTTAGGGGCCAGTTTTCCTGTGGTTCACTGCAATCCCAGATCCTCAGACAGGCTCTGTAGATCCCATTCCAAGCTAATGTCTGCAACTTTTTTCCCTCATCATATATCTTTCAGCCTTCTTCATGTCATCACACGGGTTCTGTTCGATCAGTCTTGATTGTACAGGCGCCTTTATGTATCTTGTAACTGAGCTTAACAAAGGAGAAGGTACATTTTCCTAACAGTCCTAGGTAGCTTTGGCTAACATTTTCCCCTTAATATATAGAAATAATCCTTTCGAAATTTGTTTAAGGATCTGAAAAAATTAAGTGAAACAAAGACAGAAAAAAGCGGCTTTTTCACATCACCATACATCTGACCCTACTGATTTAAATACACAAAACATTCAAAGCATTGCTGTGTTCCAAGTATGATGGATACTGTGTTTAAACATGCATGATTACATCTTAGACAGCGGTAATTTGTTGCAGCTGGTGAGATACATCCTTCATTGAAACGTATGACAAAATGAACTGTGTTGCAGCTGAGGAGGGCTGGGACAAATCTGACATTCATGGCTGGATAAACGTGCTTCACATATGACCTATTAAATTACCGAATTAACAGAAAGTTGAAATATACAAAGATAAGCTTCTAATAAAACTCATCCTGCTTTTTCTTTTATCGGCACTGATATCATCCATATAATGAGGTGCTTCCTGCTTAAGTGGGTGTGATTAAAAACACTCATTTAAAATCCTGTTTTAAAAAATGATGCAATTCATTCATGTTTTAAATAGATTTTTTTTTTATTTCTTGTGCTCTAAACTATGATTGTATTTGCCTTTTAACAGCTAATGTTTTCATCACACTTGTAAGACGTACTAACATTGTAGCTTGCTTGTTCTTGTTTGACAAAGAAAGAATAATAACCCATAAAGGTCCCTTACGTTAGACATAGTGCCATCTATTGGCTATAACGGGTTATTGCAACATATGCAAAACCTATTTGGTTCCTACTGAGCTGTTAAATAGCATTAAAATGCTAACAAGATGCTAAGCTTTACCATATACATATAGACACATTAAACTGTATCAGGATTCTCTGATTATGCAATTCTAAACTACAAAAACAAACTATTCTTAGCTATTATTTTGCATATGGGCTTGAAAGGTTTTTTAAATGTTTCACAGTGGATCTTCGAGTACTTTTTTTTTGCATCAGAGGTAAAACTGTGGTGATGGTTTTCACCTTTTGTCTAAATATTTCTATTGCATTTAAAGACTCGATTACGTTTATTTTGTGCAATTTTTATAAACTTTTAAAGAAATAGAGGCCTTTGCAATTTGATAATTATAATTATATTTCAGTTTTTTTCTGAAAAATCTTTGGTCCATACTGCTTTTTTTTAATCTTTTTTTTTATCTACATGAAAACTCTTAATAGAACCAAAAATACTGTAGTAGCTACTCCAGGCCTGCGTGGGGAGCTGTAATACGCCACAGGAACCCCCCAAAACAGAGAAGACGTAGCCCTGAGGCTAAAGGTACGGCTATGACATCATAATAAACAAAACTACATTAGTTATATCTTTGTTATAATCCATAGAAGATCTCAGATGCTTCATATTTTAATCTGTTTCTGAAAAATATTGCTTTAAAGTGCATCTCACAGACCCAAAAGTATAAAAAGAACTGCTTCATATTCAGCTTATAGGCTAAAGGGATTTCACCAGAAGCAGAGAATACAACTATTTACCATTACTTACATATTTAGTACTTGAAAATGTCAGTTTTCACTGTGGGGACATAAAGGATGTTGAGAGCTGCTAATGTTCTGTTAAGGTTTAATACCTTTGTAAAAAGTCACATTTTGTAATATAAACTTTCTTATTTTAGTTTGCCAGTGTTGCAATGTTTGATAAGTTTTTACTCTCCAGTTTGTGGGTTTTTGCACATTTGTCATAAATACTGAGAGCATGAATAAGAGCACCGGCGCTGACAGAGCTAAATCACATTATGGTTTGTTTGTACTGTGAGTGATAATGTCGAGAGGATGTGATGCAAATATATTAATTTGTAAATTATCTATCTGTTTAAGCACATTTTGAAAAAAAAAAAGCATTTCTAGTCAGAATCCAATGCTGTGATAACCGTTTCTGTAAAAATTATGAGTTATTGCATTTTGTTTGCTGACTTTACTTGACTTTAGATGTATTGTTGTTGTTTTTTTGTGTGCATCGTTGGGGAAACCAAAACAAAACACTGCAGGTTTTCTATGTGAATCCTTTACAATATGGAGGAACTAAAGAGTCACTAAAAAAAATAAAACCCGCCATTTCAAATATTATTTAAATCATGCAATTTGAAATCCAATATCATGAGTTTTCTAATTGAACATTTTAAATTAAATTATTAAAGAGTTTATACATGTTTTTTCAAATACTATTTCTAAATAGAGATTTAAAAACTAAAATTAAAGGGGACATAGAATGATTCTATAGGGTATTTGGTCCTTAAGGTCTGCATGTGGGTCACATTGGTTGGGCTGAAAATGGCAAATTTGCTTTTCTATGAGCCCAAAAGCAAGCCTGGTTAAAAGCCCTAGAATAAAACGACAGGTTGTCTTCCTTTTATGGTATGCTCATGAATATTTAGATGAGCTGTGCACTGATTGGTTGGTTTACAACAAGAGAAGCTGCTGAGCAAAGATGCATCATAGCAACAAGCACTCACTCAAGCACTGGGTGGCCAGACGTCCTCTTTTTCCCAGACATGTCGACCAAAATTGTCCGGGATTTTGGTCGACTACAGTGAAGTAGAACCGAGTTGTCAGCTCCGGGGCTGGTCCGGGAACCCCGGCGGACAGGGGGAGGGAGCCTGGCTCCGGACCAGCACCGGAACTGATGGCTATCTTCGAATGCCTTTTGGAAGTTGGGTTTGAAAATACATTTCAAATTGCAGTATTCAATAATGGATCAAACTATATGATCTAAATATTAAATTTGAAATGGCTGGTTTTCTTTTTCAGTGACTCTCTAGGTCTTCCATACTGCAACCCACATTTAATGCAAATGCTAATAAGCTTAACTGCTGGAGACTCAAAGCAAGTTGATACGTCTCACCTTATCAGATGATTTTTATTTTTATTTTTTTGGATAAAAGACATTAGACTGATACTAGATGTTGGTGTAAGTGTGTATCTTCCCATTAATTTGTATTCATTTACACAAATCCCGATCCCCAAAGGCTACAGAAGTTGCTGAATGAAATAAAAAAAGACTGACATTTATTTAAATTGTGTCAAATTTAACTCCAGACTTTGAAAAGTCATGTTATGTTTTTATTGTGTTAAAAAGAAGTTGTATTACATTTAAGTATATGTTTTATACACCTATCATTTAAGGATATGGGGTCAAATACACACCTGATCGTACCTAAGGACAATTTAGATTGATTCACTAATTAATGGACTTGGTTTTCTGTATTTTGTTCTGAAACATCTATTTTGATTATTATAAAGCTCTAAGTGCCAAAAATGTCCACATGATTATGACCAAGGATGTTTTCACATTCCCAAATATCTAATTCTAATTGAATGCAAAGATTCATTTTCAACATCTGACCCTTTAGCAATGAGCAGTGAGGTTAGGTAGGGATGGACCAATACCAGTCAAACTGATCCCTGATATGTGCTGCTGATTTTTTTAGGCCAGTTTTTAAAGCCAATATTGTTATTTCTTTCTTCCGTATTTGCTTGATAAAAAAACAACAACATAACAAATCATATAAGACATTAACAATGGATGGCAGATGCAGGAAGAATCACTTTATGTGCTTCACAGGCATGCACTGATAGCACGACACGGCAAAAACCCTGATGAAAGGCGCTGTTCTCTCCTCATTATCACATAATTTAACTCCAGATGGTGTCATAAAGTCGCAGCAAAGACACGATTCTGCAAATGAGCAACTTCCTGCAGCAAGGAAACCCAAATTTGTGTTAAAAGTCTTTGGTATTGTTGCTTAATAAATCTTACTGCAGCTCAACTACAAGAAAATACAGAGATGCTAATCCAAACATACACGATACATGCAGAACATTATTTCTCTACAACCCAAACAATTAGTAACTGAAAAGCATTAAAGCATGTCATGTGTGCAGACACAGCATGCAACCAAGGTTACCAACACCTGGAATCAGATTTTAATAATTATTTCAAAGCTTAAGGGTAACTAATTGCAAAAGAAAAGTTTAGCATAAAAAAAAAAACACTGATAGTGCTTTTTTTTTTTAAAGTCATCTTTTTTGGGAACTTTCTGTACCCATTAGCTTGTTGAATCCTCATTATATGACTTCTCGTCATCAACACAAACGCTCACAGCGAGACCCAGAATGGTTTTGCTGAAGAGATGAGCAGATGTAGGGCAGGACAAAGAGCAACGCTCCATTACGCAGATTCACCTCGATTTACAACACACAACAACGCTCCCCTCTGATGCATCAGTGTGTGTGTGAGAGGGGTTGATCATATATGCATGTGTGAGCATTTCTTGATGACTAATCTGCTTCCATTATGTGTGCCGTACTTGTGTGTCGCCGCAGGAAACACAGAGAACAAGAAAAGCAGACCCACCTGAAAGAAACAGTCTGCCAGCTCTCAGGAAACATCCTCCTTCTCTGTGCCACTGCCTCATCTGCATGGGACAACATTTTACTGGATCAATGAACTGTGAATAAAGTGCTTAGTGAGCTTTTTGAGCAGATTCACAGCACTTCATGGGGATTTAATACAGTTCTGCAGCAGCAAGAGGGACTCTTCCATTAATTAAAGCCTGCTTTTACTTTTCAGATCATATTTAAATGAAATTAGAGGAAAATTTTCTTTTTTACTTCAAGAAGGATGTTTGACCTGACATTCACAAAGCTGGTTCTTTTAGAGGTAGGTAGTGGTAGGTAGGCACCGAATCGATCCTGAAAATCAATAACAGTTGCGCAAACAGGACCTCCTTCAATAGCTGCTTCTTCTTGAAGGACACTAGGAGCAACTCAAAAATCACGAAAACAGAGACTGAGATTATCAACCTGATACCCCTGCAAACACACCAAGACTTCGTCTGCTTGCTAAAGCCATTTGCTCCCATGAGAGGAGCCTGCCCAAAGTATATAGACTGGTTTGCCATTTATCCTTCTCTAGCGTGCCAACAAGCTGCAGTTACCAGGGTACATAAAGCTCTCAGAGGTTATAAATATTTATAATGGCTTTCAACTTTTTATAGAGGTCTGTGCAGAATGAGGAAACTTTAAAAGTAGACGATATGATTTGAGTTTATCCTTTATTAGGATTTCGATCTAAGGGCTAATGGAAACAAAGATTAACTGAGAAATTATTACAGAGTGTGCAGAGCAGTACTAAAGTAGAAACTCTGCTTTAGTGTCTTGGAGAGATTTTCTGTGATTTATTTAGACAATAAAGGGCACCGTTGGGAAGTGGAAGCAAAGGGATGCATACTTTTTAAAAGGTGTTGTTTTCTTTAAGCCTTTGGATTTAGAGCAGGCATGGGTAATTCCAGTTTATGAGGGTCGGTATCCTGCAACTTTTAGATGTGCCTTTGGTTGTGTCTCTGGAGGAACTGTCTGCATATTGAAGAGGCAAGTCAGCCATTGGCTTCAGGTATGTTGGACCAAGGATCGATCTAAAAGTTCCAGGGTACCGGCCCCAAGGGACTGGAATTGTCCACCCCTAATTTAATGTGTTTAGGGGGAGGTTTTCTATAGCTGACAGTATTTTCCATCTAAACAAAATAAAATTGAGCACTTTCTTCCAAACGTTGGCCTCAGTGTTTTACCTACAGGTAAATTGAAAACAAAAACCTCTTAAGGATTATAAATCGCATGAATAAAACTTTCCCTTTGGACAGATTATGGCACCCAAGCTGTGATTGTCTGTGTCATAATGGGCTATAAAGATCTGACCCACATGCAGAGAACCACTGAGAGACCAAGGGTAAAAGTAAAACAGGTTTATTGTAGGTTAGCAAACACTGACGGAGATTGAAACTCTGTGGGGAAACAATGCTGGAACTCAGCGGACTAGTGAACCGGAACCAGAAACTC